TAGGTTACATCTGCATTTGTGCAGCTATCCTACATCTGTGTGAACAGCTGAAAATATTTTGATAAACTCTCTGGTAACTTGACCCCCATTTCAGACTTCGAAGGAATTGCTAGGATTCGGAATAGGAGCCGATTTTTCTTAAAGAAGGGCATGGGGAGTCGACCCCCGACCATCCTCTGATACTCCCCAATCACAAAGCCCCATACAAAGTTCCGTAACGATAACCCCAAGCTCCTGGCCTCCGACCTGAGGCCAGAAGCCTCAGGTCAGAATATCTAAAACTGACAGATATTCTCGTATTCCCCCACACACACACTGGTTGCTTGCTGTGGCTGTGTGGTGTCTGCTGACTCCTGGAGCTCCTCGATTGTCTAGTCATATGGAAGTCAGCGTCTTACCGCATTTAGTTGTGCCTTTGTTTTGCATTACCTTAGTTTCAGTCTGTTTTTTTTAAGGCATGTGTATAGTAGTACTGGAGGATATTAGAGCTATAAAAATAATAGTTCATAATAGTAATAATAATAATAATAATAATAATAATAATAATAATAATACAGATTCAAATTACCTGTAAACAATTTTTGTTGATTTTACTGTAATTATTCTACTGAAAATTATCTGTACCTGTAAAGAAAAGGTGTAAAATACCTGCTAACATTTTTTATCAATTTTACTGTTAATTTATCAAATTTTTTTCTGTTAGTTTAAGGACTTGCCCGAAACGCTATGCGTGCTAGTGGCTTTACAGGAATGTTAATTCAACTTATTTTCTATATTCTCTGTTAACCCCCAATGTAACTTCTTGTACATAAATAAATAAATAAATAAATAAATAAATAAATAATAATAATAATAATAATAATAATAATTTTATTGAAACAAAGGTACATATATACATTCATAAAAGATTGGATGAATCATGGGTAGTTATACAATGCCTAAAGCCACTAATACGCAGAGCGTTTCGGCCAGAAATAGAAAAATCCCTGGAAACTTGCTATATTGGTTGTTATAACTGGTTAGGAGGTGTTAAAACTTGTTCGAACGTTGTACCAACGTCGTAGTTTCGGTGTGTGTTTGGTGGCTTAAATAACTAAAACACTTGAAACTAAATGAGATTAAAAACAATAATTAATTGAAGTACGGGAATATAAATCAAATAACAATTATTAAATGATGACCGGAACAGCAAAAATTGCAACAGAACATTAATTTTACAGCATAAACAAAAAGAAGAACATTGTTATTAAATTTTTACATAAAAGATAGCAGTATTACAGGTTCAGTAATTAATGTTCAGTAACAACAAAACACAGGTTAACATTTAGGAAGTAAGGTAGGTTACATATAGTTTTTCATGTAGTTCTTAGTTTCCCTTTTATACTAGTTGAGAGAAGGATGATGTGAATAGGGAGGTCATTCCACATTTTATGACTCTTGATTTGCAGAGCATTTAGGCTTTGGTTAAGTCGCACTCTTGGAATATCAAACAGATACTTTTTTCTAGTGAGGTGTCCATGGGTTCTGTAACAGTCCTCTGGGAAGCGTTAAAGTTCGGTATTAGCATTGCAGTTCAGTATTTTATATATATATATATATATATATATATATATATATATATATATATATATATATATATATATATATATATATATATATATACATTTATATATACATATATATATATACATATATATATATATATATATATATATATATATATATATATATATATATATATATATATATATATATATATATATATATATGTCACTAGTAGCCAGAACTCACTTCTCAGCCTACTATGCAAGGCCCGATTTGCCTAATAAGCCAAATTTTCCTGAATTAATATATTTTCTCAAATTTTTTTCTTATGAAATGATAAAGCTACCCATTTCATTATGTATGAGGTCAATTGTTTTTTATTGGAGATAAAATTAATGTAGATATATGACCGAACCTAACCAACCCTACCTAACCTAACCTAACCTATCTTTATAGGTTAGGTTGGGTTAGGTAGCCGAAAACGTTAGGTTAGGTTAGGTTAGGTAGGTTAGGTAGACGAAAAACCATTAATTCATGAAAACTTGGCTAATTAGGCAAATTGGGCCTTGCATAGTAGGCTGAGAAGTGCGTTCTGGCTACTAGGTACGACATATATATATATATATATATATATATATATATATATATATATGTCGTACCTAGTAGCCAGAACGCACTTCTCAGCCTACTATTCAAGGCCCGATTTGCCTAATAAGCCAAGTTTTCCTGAATTAATATATTTTCTCAAATTTTTTTCTTATGAAATGATAAAGCTACCCATTTCATTATGTATGAGGTCAATTTTTTTTTATTGGAGTTAAAATTAACGTAGATATATGACCGAACCTAACCAACCCTATCTAACCTAACCTAACCTATCTCTATAGGTTAGGTTTGGTTAGGTAGCCGAAAAAGTTAGGTTAGGTTAGGTTAGGTAGGTTAGGTAGTCGAAAAACAATTAATTCATGAAAACTTGGCTTATTAGGCAAATCGGGCCTTGCATAGTAGGCTGAGAAGTGCGTTCTGGCTACTAGGTACGACATATATATATATATATATATAGCACTCGTGAGAAGATGAGTAGTGACTTAATATCTAACATATGCAAAGATTTGAGTAAAGGGATGAATGCTGTCAATTCAATTTCTTTCTTTATTACGAGTGGGAGTTTGTTATGGCTGATTTATGTTGAGTATTAGGGGAGTCGTAGATAATTTTTTGGGGAGGTGGCGCCCCAGGCATAGATACCATAATGTGAGATAATTATAGATGAGTGAGAAATATAACGTCGCCAGGGCAGGGCGAGGTACATAGTATATTTTGGAAAGTTGTGTTTTTGCGCTAAGGTTACGGAATTACCTTCTCTAACCTAAAACCTCTTTTTACTTTGTTAATTCTGGCATTAATGAGAAATTTGTAGTTATGTTGTACCAATTAGGAAGAGAATGGGGCGGTTGTGAGCGTGACGGAGACTCACGAACGCTGTGGAGGAAGGTACTGTGGGGGAAGGGGGTTGGACGCACACATGCAGCTGTTATGCCAGAAACCTTCATGTAAACAATGAAGGTGAAACAAGAGAAGTGTTTGGGTGGGTTACGTCATACACACACACTGATGGGTTTATGGGGCCCCTAGGGAGGTGATGAAGTTGTGCGGTGGTGGGGGGAGGAGGGTGACGGAGCTGCCATCATCCATGAGTGGTAACAGATGAGCCACGCTGCAGGGGCGTCTCGGCTCCCCACCACTACCACTAGCCGCCAAAAAATAAAAAAATAAAAACTCCGGCCCTCAGAGGAAGTAATCAATAGTGGTCACGACTTTCCTACGTGAGGGTAACTTGTCATGTGAAGAAATTATTGGGTGCGAAGATATAGTTAAAGAAACTATAAATTAATGAGGCTCCAATTTTGAAATCACTGTTGGAGGACACTATAACGGCAAGCCGTCCTATTACAAATTATATCACTTTTCGCTCGTATGCGCTACGGCCATAAAAAGTTGTAATTTAAAAACGAAAATACAGTAGTCTAATACTGTAGTTTGATTGGCTGCATATATTTAAATTTAATATAAACCCCCTTAATGTGCTAGGAGTCGATTTGTGAGAATATTGCAGAAATATAGTCCGCTAAACATCATACAAATTGCTATCGAAATATATAAATTAACGTAAATATAAACAATATATAAATTCAAATAAATTAAATATAAATCTCACAGGTCGGTTCCCTACACCGGTGGCTGTGAGGACAGCACGCTAGACAATCCTGTGGTCCCGGTTCGATTCCCGGCGCCGGCGAGAAACAATGGGCAAAGTTTCTTTCACCCTGATGCTCCTGTTACCTAGCCGTAAATAGGTACCTGGGAGTTAGACAGCTGTTACGGGCTGTTTCCTTTGACCTGTGTGTGTGTGAAAAAAAATAGTTAGTAACTGTTGATTGATTTACAGTTGAGAGGCGGGCCGAAAGAGCAGAGCTCAACCCCCGTCAAAATCGCCAACGGACAAGTAACGTGGTACTATAATCCACAGCTGATCAGCAATTAAACACGTTTTCTGTGAGTCGGCATGTGAGAGTCGGTTACGTTAATTCTCCGCATCATAGTACACCATTTAGAGTCCGCTGAGGCAACACGAAAGGTAATATAGTAATTAGCCTCAGCGGGCGGACATCGAAAAGCCTACATCAGGCTACCTGCCTCCGAGAATGGGAAACCTTGAAATTTAACCAGAACGCCTCACCACGTACTTCTCAGTATAGCGGACGCAGTAAGGGGGAAAAAACAAAAATACTATTGCCATTCCGATTTATAATTCAGAGGTGCTCTAGAGACAGTACACAACCCGCATCAGTCATCACTGTCGCCATCCCGCCAGTGACAACTACACTTACTTCGAGACACCCCTGGTCACCAGCCTCCACACCTGCTACACCTCCTGCCGGCCCGGGGTGTAGAGGGGTTCTTGCGTATCAGTAACTGATTGATTGATAAAGATTAAGCTACCCAAGAGGTGGCACGGGCATGAATAACCCGTAAGTGATGGCCCTTTTGAGCCATTACCAGTATCAAGAGCAGATACTGGAGATCTGTGGAGGTGCGACTGCACCCTGCGTGACGGGAGATGTCTCCCGTGTGCGTATCAGTAACTGATTGATTGATTGATAAAGATTAAGCCACCCCAAGAGGTGGCACGGGCATGAATAGCCCGTAATTTGCTATTCGATATCAGTAACTGTTGGGGAGGGAGGTCTATTGCTTGTTCGGCTCCACCTCACGGCCTTGTTGTACCTGTTGCGTTATAATTGAACTATTTTGACGTTCGATTTGTCGCATCTATCTTTAAAGATGTGGATGGAGGTGGCTTTTACAACTGCTTTCGGCGTGATCCACTTGTTGACCTCCCGTACTGGGTACGGGAATTTCGTTGCATTTCTTTGATTCATTTACGTTTCCAGCTCCAACTTGCCAACCCCAGGATCCCGGTGAAGCGGTGTGTCAGTCCAAAGACCCCAATGAAGCGGAGTGTCATCCCCAGGATCCCGGTGAAGCGGAATGTCAGCTCAAAGACCCCGATGAAGCGGTGTGTCAGTCCAAAGACCCCGTTGAAACGCTGTGTCAGTCCAAAGACCCCGTTGAAACGCTGTGTCAGCCCCAGGGCCCCAAAACCGGGAGTGGATCCGGGCTGTAGCCACCGAGACTGTGTGTAGCACTGCATCGGTAAAAACTTGTGGGTCCACCCTTGACCAGTGTAAAGACCAGCCATCCCCCTGCCCACCCACCTCTCACGCACCGGCAGGGCACAATACCCTGTACACCCCTTGTCAGCACATATCCCCCTTCCGTCGTAGTTCTCACACGCCTTTTGTGTTTCTCCCTGCCCTCATGTTCCCCGGTGGCCACTGCTTTGCTCTTCCTGAAAAAAATTACCCTCTTTTTATTATCTTGTTTTGGTGTACGATTGAGTTTTCCTTTAATTCTCTCTCTCCCCGTTCCACGTGGCTCGTCTTTCCGCCGACAGTACAACCTGTCCTCCAACAAAGGACGTCGCTTTTCGCTCGTATGCGCTACACAAGGCCAAAAAATGTCGTATTAGAAAATGGAAGCGGCGCGCGAAAGTGACGCACTCTCTCGTTTTCTGTTTTGGGTCCTCTGGTAGATCAGGAAAGGAGACTTTTAAACTAGAGGTTTTCTTGACGTTGGGAAAGTTTAGGAGGACGGACTGCACTGACGGTGGATCAACATTTGTCGGTCAATTATAAGCAAGCGGACGGACTTACAGAACAGATAACGTAAGCTTTTAAGGGTTGACAGATGTTAATCTTCTTGTTTGAGGAGCTGTTCACTTGAGACAGTTAAGCAAGTCCCAGCTGTGTCTAGGTACAAGTGACAGGATGAACAACCCAGCGGGTTTTCTTCCTATTGGGGAGTGTTGTACATGTTGCTATGGCGGTGTCCACTTACAAGATGAGTGACGCTGCCCAATAAACTCGCCCCTCGGGGCAATAAGTATTCTCCACTGTATTATGTATCCAATAAATGTACTTTGTATGTCTAAATTATTATTAGTAGTATTATTTAGTATTATTATAGGTGTATCACCTCTGGTGCAATTGTAAGGACCCATAGCCTCGGCAAAGGGAATAAAGAGCATTCAGAGGAAAACTTGTTTGGTTCTAAATACATGTCTAGTCATTTGTGGGGAGGGGGGGGGAGATGCTAGAGGAACGGTATCGATTCATGCAGGTCTGCGTTCAATCTCCAACCGTCCAAGTGGTTGGGCACCATTAATTTCCCCCGTCCCATCCCAAATCCGTATCCTGATTAATTGATGAAGATTAAGCCAAACAAGAGATGGCACGGGCATGAGTAGCCCGTAGTAGATTAGATTTTTAATCTAATCTACTAAGTAGATTACTTAGATGAAGTAGATTAAATCTAAGTAGAGAGTGGTACATTTTTGGGAGTGAATGTGATCTTTGGTCGAGAGAGACGAGATGATTGCATATCTTCAGATTGATTGATTGATAAAGATTAAGCCACCCAAGAGGTGGCACGGGCATGAATAGCCCGTAAGTGGTACAATTTTTTTCTCAGTATTCTGAGGTTGCATTTAACCATCAAGCTGTTATCGCGGGGGAGGATACTGCTTCATAGTCTTTATGAGGGTGTCCAGCTGCTGGACACCTTTGTTGACCAGGAGAGTGGCTGTGTTAATGGCTTCAGGGTGGCCACTGCATGCATGATTCAGGAACTCTTAAAGCTCTTCTAAGGGCATATCCTCATCTCTTCCAAGTGTTATATAGTCGTAATGGCTTAGTGCTTTCTCCTGATATTTATGTTCCCTTCCCTTGCTTCTCCAAGGGAAGCAAGGGAATACTACTGGGGGTATTCTATCTATAAACTTCACTTTCCTTCACCACCTTCCTTACCCTTCACCACCTTCCTTACCCTTCACCACCTTCCTTACCCTTCACCACCTTCCCTACCTTTCACCCCCTTCCTTACCCTTCACCACCTTCCTTACCCTTCACCCCCTTCCTTACCCTTCACCACCTTCCTTACCCTTCACCACCATCCCTACCCTTCATCCCTGTAACCATTTGCACTAAATATTCCTCAATAAATAAACTACATAAGAGTCATTAACATTTAATCATGTAGAAAATAATACACTAGATTAATCTTAGCAAGGACGGAGTCTGGTATTTAGCGAGACTGGAAATTTGTGTATGGCTCAAGCCAAGGGGAAGGGCATGGGGGGCTCGACCCCCGACCCGTTTATGACCAGCCCCGGACAAACACCAGTCACACTGCAAAGTTGGGTGAGGCTGGCCCCCCAAGCGTCTGGGCCCCATCCTCGAACAGACAGGCATACATACAGATAGACATACAGGCAGACAGACATACAGAGGCAGACAGAAAAACATCATCTTTTTATAGATACGACACATTATACATTTAATCGCCATACTTTTCAGACTGTGTCCGATCGCACAGTTTGTAACAGTTTTGAGAGTTCCTCCTTTGAGAGATAGTTAGAGCAACTGTATGTTGGCACATGTTCACGTTTTGTTGAGGCTACGAGAAATAAAAGCTGCCAAAACCCAAACTTAAATATTCACAGGACTAGTGTAACACATATATACGTGTTCTATTAGACCAAAGATAGCTGTACACGAAGCCTAGGATTGTTTAGACAGGTTAGGCTAGGTAAGGTCTTCAGTTTCTTTTCGTGTTTTTAATATGCCATTTGGGCTAATTTAGTAATACAAAATATTAACGTTTTTGTATTCAACAATCCATTTTTGTACGTTCGAACAGACTGTTGATACAAGCACTATCGGTACTACTGGATGAACCGTATTACGCAAGACCGTTGAAGGTTCCTGCTGGTGCCGCCGCCACGACACTCATGCTTATGATAAGATGAATCAAGGTCGCCTCAATGATACATGTTTGGACTATCACTCTCAAGGTCGACAGAGCGTCGCTCTCGCTTCTTGCAGGTCGATCCCTGATGTTCCTAGTGGTTGAACATTGTTTCTATTATCTGTATTCATATCCTAATTCATATCTTGTTCTCATACCCCTTTCTAGTGCGGTATCGACAGTTCTTTAATTTTCTTGTCATATCTTACTCCCATATCCCTGCCAAGTGCTACCTGGTCATATTAGATCAGCATGTTCTCACAGTCACCCTATTTTCCATTTAGAGGAGTCGAGTATGTTTAGTGGTAAGATACGTTTCAATAAATTTGTTTTAATGTACTTGTGAATGCACGCAAGTGTAAAAATGAAATGCAATAACGTTCAGAGTTCCATATCAAATTATTTGGATAGAATGGTTAAGTGTGAAGTGTTAACGTATATAGAATGTGAAACTTGGGTCATACTGTTGTTGTTATTGTTATAGAATACTGGGACCAACAAGTTTCAAGTAGCTCGGGCTATGGTGAGCCCGTAGTGAACTTACCTGGCACAGGAGCGGAGGGGTTGGGTCATACACAATGTAGCTCTTACCTGTTCCCACCTCACACTTGGGTCATGCACAGTGTGGCTCTTAAGTTCCCACCTCACACTTGGGTCATGCACAGTGTGGCTCTTATGTATACTGTTCCCACCTCACACTTGGGTCATGCACAGTGTGGCTCTTATGTATACTGTTCCCACCTCACACTTGGGTCATGCACAGTGTGGCTCTTATGTATACTGTTCCCACCTCACACCTGATATTACTGCAGTATTTACGCAATGAACCATATCGTAAAAATTCCCGAACTTTATTGATATGAAATGCAAGCAACAGCGACGGGACCATCAGCTCTGGACGGGTCAGACAAGGCCTCCGTGTGTAAGCTTCCGGTGAGGGGAAGTAAGCGCATTTTTAGTGTCAAGTTCAGACACACGGGCTGCTCACTGTGGCGCCAGCGGCAAATGCATGTTCTTGAACTTTAGCGAAGATGACGTTTTACCTGCAAGATAAAATCTTCAAAAATAGCATCACAAATAGATCACTCTGTAAATAGTACCTTTTTTTTTAATAGCAACATTGCTCGCCATCCAGAGTATAAGGCACACCTCAGCTCGAGTGTAGGCGTCCCAAGCTTAAATTAATAAGTTATTCAACCCAAGCTTGTGACGTGAAACACAAGTGAAGACGTTGTTGTTGTTATAGATTCAGCTACTCAGAACAAGTTCCAAGTAGCACGGGCTATGGTGAGCCCGTAGTGGACTTACTTGGCACAGGAGCAGTGCTGTGTCCATGGAAGTGAAGACGTTTCGATCGTCACTTGTGGTAGTAACACCACACCCGGAGCGTGGTGTTACAGTGTTGCCACACGAGGCCCAAGCCCTAGCCGTTGACTCAAGTGTACTTACCTCTCGCGGGAACAAGAATACACCTTCGCTTACATAATAACCATGACCTAAATACTCCGCCCAGCCGCCAGCAACTATATATAACCTACAGTGTGCCCCACAACCTGTATAAGTTGCCGATTTGTATTCAGCTTCGCAATCTATATAGCATGAAAGAGAGACAACAACGGCACTTCCATGCCAAGTTAAAATTCAAGTTCAAGTATGTTTATTGAGATAAAAAATACATCTCAAAGGGATAGAGTAGCTTAGGCTATTTCTAGCCCTCCCTCACTTTCATGCCATTGGAAGATTAATTTCACCCATTTTATATTATAATCCCTCCCTTCCTACGCAGTAAAATACGATGCCTTGAATCATAAGATATTCTACTCACATTAATAAATCGCGACACCACCCAACTGATGCTGTTTGAAAGGCAGTTGTCCAGACAATGAGTGGCAGGACCCTTAACCACCTACGGGCTCACCATAGTCCGTGCTGCTTGGAACTTTTTGTTCCGGGTAGCGAATCTTAAACAACAACAAACCCCTAATCACATTTTGATTAGGGCAGAGGAAGGGGGGGGGGGTGTCGGTATAAACAACTGGGCCGAATATGTTTCCGTATTCCTTGCACTCGTATGTGTTTATTTCTAATACTGACATATTAATTGTAAGTGAATCGTTATCATCCTTAATTCTTTACGCCGGGCACAGGCACGACAACAAAAATAATGATTGTAAAAATAAGAGTA